GACGTCACATGACCTTACAGCTGCCCAACAGCAAAACAGACCTCAAGGTAGTGCAGGTTGATCGTCAAAGTACAGCTGTAGTAGTACTTAACGTTACACGAATATGATGTGTATTGTGTAACTGTGTTAGACATCTTGCATTGTATCATGCCAATAGGTATGCTTTGTCCCTATATGATGGGATGTTAAATAAAACTGATTGATTGATTGATATGAAGTCATGTATGGTATATGAGGCCATTCCGACCGTTTTAGTGGTAAAAACAGGGAGTTGATTTTTCCTTCATTGACTTATAATACAGAGGTCGCGAAATTGACCTGACCTTAGGTCACCGATATCAAAATTCCGAGATATACAAATTGTAGCTACTAATGACCTTATAACATCCTGCGACTTTCAAAGGCCTCCGACATCTACTGTAGCTCTGGCACGGTGACAAAGTTGCAAAAAAGTGACTTAACCCTCGCCGGCCGAGGGGGGGGGGGGCGGGTGCCGCCCCCCCCCCCCCATAGGGTTTTTTCGCGATAGCTCCGAACACGCTGGCGATAGAGAGCTGAAACTTGGCATACCTGACCTTTGATCCAAGCCGGATCTTTTGACACCAACCGCATTTTTGGGTCAGGTCAGGTCACTGACCTATGACGTCATAAGTGAACCTCTGCACGGTCTTCAGATGTCGCAACTTCGCAACGCCCTCACTGCCAGAGGAGATGTCACAGGGAAATGAAACTTGCAGGATCTAGTATCCATTATGAGTCCCACAACTTGTATATCTCGGATTTTTCCTAAAGGTCATATGAGGTCAGGTCATTTTCGTGACCTCACCATTATAAGTCAATGGGGAAAAATTCAAACTGCTATTCTGGCGCCGGGAACGATCTCCAACTATCTCAAGCACACAGAATCGTGATTTGATGCACTCCTTGCAAGGTTAGATGCGTCACTTTTGCAATGTTGACCTTGCGTGACGTCATTTATGACGTCATCAAGGTCAAATTAGTTTTTCGTCAATAACTCTTGATCAAATTGAGCTAGCGAGTCGGGAAAGGCACCAATGGACTCAGGAAGGCCTGCCGAATCGAATGATATGCGACATGACCTCTTTCGACCAGCTTCGTGACCTGGGGGTGCTGACCTGACCTTGACCTGAGGTCAACACCCCAAGTTGACCTGACCCGGACAAAAAGTATATCATTCGACGCGCCTGAGCGAGGGGAACACGATGCTGCCAAAATCGGCGCTCTGCGGCCGTTTTTTGCGAAGTTATTCACCAAAAACTGAACCGTACCCTGGGGCACTTGACCTGACCTCAGAGGTCACCGGTTGACCTAGGACCTTAAAATCGGGTACCAATATCTGCGTCTCGTAACGGCGCACACGCTCGTTTTTTCCGCGACGCGCTAGCTCCACCAGGGGCGAAACGGCGAGGGGGGGTCGTACCCGCCCCCCCCCCTCGGCCGGCGCGTATGTAGAAAACCAATAGGTCCGGCGAGGGTTAAGGTTGGGTCATTCAAAGTGACCTGGTGACCTGACCTTAAAAGTTGGGAGGTTCAAACTTGCACACCATGTGTAAAATTGATGAGGGAATAGTCGTATCAAATTTCGCGGCGCTACGCGCCGCGGTTTTCCCGCTATTTGCGAAAAACCTAAGGGGGCGGATATCCGCCCCCCCCCCCGTCGGTGCGCGTATTATACATATATGTAGCTATAGCCAAACGCCCAACATGTGAATTACACCTTCACGCTGCCAAACATCCTCATTATCTATACAGTATACGTACGGCACCGCTGCTTCGCCGGTTTCCTGTACTTCCCCCTACTCCCCCTGCCCCCGCCCCTCCCCCGCCACCAAGGTCGCGTGCAGGTGCCGGCTCGGTCGCCGGTGCAGGGCGGCGACGGCGCCGGCCGGCGGCCGCCCACGTCCACCGGGAGTAGTCGCGCGCCATCTACCCGGCACACCCAGTCTACCCCTTCCAGCGCGCCACCGACCAACCAGCCAATCGGAGGCTGCCACGCTCCTCTGCTCCGAAAGTCCCGGATGACTGCAAGCTCAGACATGCCAGGCTGGGGCCGTACTATGAACTGCATTATTTGTCAGCTGGCGCCGTATGGTGGCGCTAGCATAGCTTGTTGTATATCAATGCTAGATATAAAAGACTAAATATCTATCTATCAGTTTTTATATGAGTGCCATTTTACGTGTAGATGTTCATCTACTACCGTAATTATATCTAAAAACACGGCAGCTATCGTACGTCGCCAGCTGGCCAGCCAGCTGATTCAATCCAGTTGTTAACAAGGCCTGAGGCTGCGTTGCGCTGGAGGGCGCCAGTTCGCCGGGAGCTGCAGGTCGAGTCAGCCGCGCCCTGCCTTGTAACCGTCCCAACGGAAATCCGACGGCAGTTCTTCTGATGAAATAGGAAAGGTATGTTTGACTGTGAGACCTTTAAAGTCGGAGCTCGGCATGTTTCAAGTGGTTATACCTATAGTTCTGTTTGCGATGCGACGGTAACACTGAAGCGTCACTTTTGCCGCATTTTCAATAAACGGAAGGCGTAGCCTGAGATAGCTTGAAATTAGGTGCATACATTTTAGTTCACCACACCAGCATACCTAAGCGTGTAGGATATGTGTAAATTAGGTACATTTTAGTTCACCAGCATACCTAAGCTGTAGGACGGTGTAATGTGTAAATTAGGTAGGTACATTTCATTTCGCCAGCATACCTACATGAATGCATGATGGATTTCTCACATCCAGCATTTGAATTGTAGAGCATCGCCGCGCCGGCCTTTTTCCCCTTCCCTCTACCCTCCCCTCCTCGCTCCGCTGAGTAATTGAGTAAGCGGCTGTTGGTTAGAATGTGGCCGGCTGAGCTTACGAGTAGTGACACTGTCTGAAGTTAATTGCATGTCTCATAATAGCTTGGACGAGACCAGGCACACACTTGCCGATAAAGCAAATATGTTAGATTATTTTCCATAACGCCGTTGGCTGCAGTGAAAGGGCTCATGGCTCTACAGACTCACAGAGCCCCTATTGAAACCAGACAATGGTCCCATTTTGAATTTCAAGTAGCGCGCTATATGATAGTCTTGACAAACGTGGTACAAAATTATTATTTGTATGTCACAAAATTTAATCTGACTGTGTTAAATCGAACAATGTGCTCGCCACTGCACTGCTCGGTGACGGGCCCAAATACAAGAATTGGTGGTGGTTCGAAAGCCAGAAACCAACCAACTTAAAATAAGCTCAAATCCATCAAACTTGCAACAATGCTTCTTGCTGGCATATAAGTTACTTATCAGGCCAAACTTGCTGTTTATCTATATCCTACATAAAGGATGTGTCATTGTGTCATGTTCACTCAACACTTTTATTATTATGCTAAGAAAACGATTAATCTAAGCACAAAGTCAACGATTTGTTAAAATGCTCGACAATGTGGGTATAATTGAGGTCAAAGCTTTTATAGGCTATGGCTGAGGGCGCAATATATTGGTCACAAAAAGTAGATACTGGCCATGACTTAACTGACGCACGGTTTATAACTGTTTTGTGAGGCGTTTTTCATAACAATAGATCAAACCATGCATCAAGCATTGAATGATGGTGGTGCGAAAAACATCCTATTCGAAGCCCACAGAGTACCTACTTAAGCAATCAGACAACAGACACACTTATAGTGCAAAGCTATAGAGAGCTGGACGGAATGCTTACGTACGTACAAGCATAATGCTCTTCAGTTCACATCACAAAATTCAACACAGAAGTGATCCTGAAACTGGACGGTTCACCAGACTGTCAAAGCGGACTAAGTTGATGTGCCCCCGATACTGCTGTCCTATCACACGTCCTTAAATATATGAAACGTTAGCCTTTTATCCCATGCAGCTGCCACTCCTAGCGAGTGAGTTAAGTGCTGAAGGCAAGAGAAGGATTGTATGGATGTGCCGGAACGGCAGACACGTCTCTTGGCGTATGAACGCAGCCGTCTCGTATGACAGATTTACCACCTAAAGGCTGCAAGAACTCGGTTTTACAAAACCATTTCAGAGCTATGAGATGACAGAATAGGACGCAGACATTGGGCTGTGCGGGCAACGACAGTGCGCCGCAGCGGCAGAGGTCGCCCCGACTGGGACAACACCTTTTGGGACAGCTCGCCCTGTCGCTCAAACGGTCACCCCGGAAAGGAAAAAAGTGCAGTCCAACGAGGACCTGCCCCCACGACCGCTTGCCTCGGTGGGGAAACCGTCAGTCCAGACAATGAAGGGGGATGCGGATGGGCTTGTCCTAAAGGAAGTAAAAACGGCTAGTAATGGCTAGCTTTAGCGAGCGCAGGGTGTCTGCCGGCTTTTGGAATGCATCGCAGCTGTCGTGGCACTCAAAGCGCATCAATGGACAAAAGGGCCTTTGATGGACGGGTAGTTGGCGGCGTCAGCTGACGTGCTCAGTCAGCGACCGGTACCGCAGCGTCGACTCCGCTCGGAATGCTCTAAACAAGTGCGCAAGGGCCTGCAGCTGGATGCTACCATGTCACGGATACCGTTTGGAGGCCTCGACAGTTTCCCGCTGCATGGCGCCACCTGTCCGATGTCAGGGGACGCTTCAGTCGCCGATATCCTATCGGCCGACGTGTCGGTCGGACAAGACTAGACTACCCATACCTCTGTTTTCACGCCTGCAGTAGAGAGCTGGCCCTCAAATTGGTGACGAGCGCCAGCGGCCGTGAGAGTTGAAACAGCCCACAGCGTCAACGACAGGCTCAAGGCTGGCCACGGCGGTGGTGGATGTGAAAACGTTAATTAGTTTTGCAGAACCCTTTCTTTCAAAGGTTTGCAGACAATCGAGCAGGGAAGCTCTCAGACAAGTGTGGTATGAAAAACGATGCTTTGTAGCTACATCCATGCACAGATTTTAATAAGAAAGGAGCCAGGAGGCCTTTTATTCCACAATCATGACGTTTCTGGAACCGGATACCACAGTACTGCGTCATGCAGACACCGGTGCTTCTGAAAGCCAAGCGGAGGTGGTGTACCGCTGCTACGTCGCTATCGCTGTCTATTTCCGGTATCTCTCGTAGTTCGCCTGTCAATGTCTTAGGCTGTCAGTCTCGCACACAACGTGTAGCAGTGAACACCAGTGCTTATACTGTGGGCCTGTGACGGCGGTCAGTAATGAATTACTTGTGTTCAATTAACAGTGATTTTACTGGATGATTTATTGAGTGATGTGATGCATCGAATGCGCGTGGCATCTCAGTGAATGTGCGCCTTTATTTTTCAGAGTGGAGGATAAAAGAAGATGCGGACGATAATCGTGAAGATGCAAGTGCAGATAACGGCTATCCTGTGTGGGCTGGGTAGTGGGGCTCCATCCCCAATACCAAACAGTACTAGAGATGAGGTGCTTCAGCTGACTGGATTCGGTGCGGAGCTATCTCCCAGTCTACTGCCCGCTCTGTGGGACACCGAAGGAATATACTTCCCTAATCACAGCGCCAGTGTCAGTCATTGGAGACACTCCAGCAGGCCCTTGCTGCTGACCTACGAGCCCATGATTGCCGGCCCGCTGGAGCCACGGCGATGGCTCATCCTCGACGTCGGCGATGATGAGGACCTTCTGACGGGAGATCGCCCGATCGCCGAGCTGTCTGCTGGAGCTCAGCCATGGGAAGGTCCTGCCGGCGGTTGGCGTACTCGTGACTGTCTTGGCGGGCTGCGCGAGACGGACGCCGAACTGAGGGCGGTCCCCAGCCGACGCCAGTGGGACGACTGCAGCACGCTCACCTGGCGTCTGACCGGACTGGGCGAACACCACCCGAGACTAGCGCTGCTGGCCGGTCAGTTCCAGGTCACGAACGAATACAGCTCCGGAGCGCCCGTCTACCGCGCCGCCGACACGAGTGCCGTGCTGCAGAGGGTCGTGTCAGGATCGCGCAGCAGCTGGGTTCTACACTCACCGCGCGACAACGAGACCCAGATGGCCGCTCTCGGAGAGTACGCGGACCGCATCAACCTGATCCGGACGGAGCGGTTCGTGGCGTCGGGGCTACCCGGACAGGACTTTCTCGATCAGCCGGCCTTCGTTTGCCATCCGGAGGAATGGGAGATGGGCGATGCCGACTTCACGCTGCCTGACCTCGATGGGTACAAGGTGACTGACGACATCCATGATCAGGCTCAGTGGAGTCGTCAACGCTTCACAGAAGAAGACAGTGGGGCATACGCAAGAGCTTTTGGGACCCAACCTGAAGAACACGCTCGGATGCTGGTCACTACCAGTATAACCCGCACGAGGATGGACCTGATCATGCTGAGCATCACGTCGCCTAGAATCTCACTCACTGACCAGGGTTGTGCAATCATTCGACTGCACAACAAGGGCTTCCAGTTGTCAGTGTCCTTCCTGAGAGACAGCGGACACCACGAAGATCTGCTTGAAACCGGCTCCATCAGCGGCTGGAGAGATGTGGTGGTGAGCTTGACCGGGTCTGGACAGATGACTCTCACTGCCAGTGATCCCGACGGCCCCAGCAGCCGTCTCGCCGTAACACAGATACTTGTGTTCAACGAGACATGCGATCAGCTGCAGGGACGGACGTCCGCCTGTGATGAGGACACTTGCTTCAACGGAGGCACGTGCACCAGTGTCACACTCAAGCACCACCTTTGTCTTTGCCCACCTGGTTTTCTCGGACCGCGATGCGAAGATCGCGTTGACTGCGGAGAGCCAGATGTCATTGCCTTCGGTCAAGCAACACGCGTATCCGGAAACGCGTACCTGGACCGTGCCTACTATACGTGTTCTCCGGGCTACGCGCCCTCTGAGACGGTGCTGGGGGTGTCCTGGAGCGTGTGCCATCGCAACGGCAGCTGGGTAAACACACCGCGCTGTGAGCCGCTCGCCGGACAAGCCTACCTCAAGTGCGACTTCGCCGCCGAGTGTGCGGACTTCAACATGCGCTTGGACAACGAATACAACACAGACACGGACCAGGAGTGGGAGAGGAGCGAGCGGCTACGGACGTCCGACATCCGTCCTCAAGGGGTCTTCCTGACCACGTACCGAGCACGAGGACAGCGTACGCTCACCTCCCGTCTTCGTACACCGTGTTTAGACCTCCAGGCGTCTGGCTGTCTGCAGCTCGACGCCTACCTATCGAACGCCACTCTGACCGTGATGGACTGGCGCACGAACCGCGTCTTGTTCCGCACAGAGGAGGGCGGCCGCCGCCTGCTGGTCCCTCTTCATCCCCAGGCTGGCCCGCTGCTGGTGGTGGCGCAGCTGGAGCCGGGAGAGTCGGAGGCTGCGCTGGACTCGATCCGCGTGTACCAGTACACCTGTGACCAGCTGCTGAAGGTGACCCTTGCCGAGCCTCGGCCCTGGCCCAGGTGGCCGCCGGCCGGTCAGACCGACCGCTCGCCAGTACTTGTCTCCGTCTCCGAGGAGACGGAGACAAGTACTGGCGAGGCTGCCCCCATTCTGCTCGTCCTGGTGCCACTTGTGGTCTTGCTAGGGATAGTAATGGTGCTGGGATCCTCGCGAGACTAGCCTGACAATAATTGGCATCGAACAATAAACCTTGAACTCAGAGCTTGCGATGTGCCTGCGATGCGCTGTGAAGATTTGTTTTCACTGTGAAAAGAGTGTTCTCGTTGGATGTGCGCGTAATTTTTATGTTTTCATTTTCATTTTTTGTGTTTTGTGCTTTTGTGCCTTTTCGTTTCGTTCTCAAGATGTCTTTGTCTTTGTTCGGCGGTTGGGCGCTGCTGCAGTGGTGGCTGCGGTCAGGGAGCCGCCTTTGTGATTGGTTGTGGGCAGCGCCACGTGACCCACGTGATGACCCCCGGGCGGTACCATGTGACCGGGCCGACCCGGGGCGCGCAGCTGCCGGACACCTTTCCGTGCTTCTATCCTCAGGATACTGAAATCCTTCTCCTCCACGCCGCAACCCCCCCCCCCTCCGGGCTGGACAGGCAACTTCATCTCATGCGGGCTGCTCCCTTGGAGCGGCACCGCCGCGCTGCTCCCGAGGGAGCGCACCCCGTAGCCGGGTGCAGTGAGTGCCTTGGGGCTGGGTGGCCTGTCCTCTGGACGGGCTCAGCCCCGGCGACTCACTAGGGTACCTGCCCAGACCAATGTCTCCCCCTAATTCCTATCATCCTTCCGGCTCTGCAATGGTCTTGTCGACCGAAAGGGCCTAACCCAACAAAACAAACAAACAAACAAGCTGCCGGAGCGCCCAGTCTGGCGCAGTGTGCCCATGTGTGCCTTGATGTGTCGATGAGAGTGGCGCGCTGTCGTCGTGGGATGCAGTCACATGGGAAGAAAACTCGGTAAGGCATGTTAAAATGTGCATCTTTTTGTATCGTTTCATCTTCCCCGTCTGATATTTGTCTTAATGCTCTTTGTATTTGTTTGTCTTTAAAGGCATTACCTCGGTTGATTTAACCCTCGCCGGACCTATTGGTTTTCTACATACGCGCCGGCCGAGGGGGGGGGGCGGGTACGACCCCCCCCCCCTCGCCGTTTCGCCCCTGGTGGAGCTAGCGCGTCGCGGAAAAAACGAGCGTGTGCGCCGTTACGAGACGCAGAGATTGGTACCCGATTTTAAGGTCCTAGGTCAACCGGTGACCTCTGAGGTCAGGTCAAGTGCCCCAAGGTACGGTTCAGTTTGTGGTGAATAACTTCGCAAAAAACGGCCGCAGAGCGCCGATTTTGGCAGCATCGTGTTCGTCTCGCTCAGGCGCGTCGAATGATATACTTTTTGTCCGGGTCAGGTCAACTTGGGGTGTTGACCTCAGGTCAAGGTCAGGTCAGCACCCCCAGGTCACGAAGTTGGTCGAAAGAGGTCATGTCGCATATCATTCGATTCGGCAGGTCTTCCTGAGTCCATTGGTGGCTTTCCCGACTCGCTAGCTCAATTTGATCAAGAGTTATTGACGAAAAACTAATATGACCTTGATGACGTCATAAATGACGTCACGCAAGGTCAACATTGCAAAAGTGACGCATCTAACCTCGCAAGGAGTGCATCAAATCACGATTCTGTGTGCTTGAGATAGTTGGAGATCGTTCCCGGCGCCAGAATAGCAGTTTGAATTTTTCCCCATTGACTTATAATGGTGAGGTCACGAAAATGACCTGACCTCATATGACCTTTAGGAAAAATCCGAGATATACAAATTGTGGGACTCATAATGGATACTAGATCCTGCAAGTTTCATTTCCCTGTGACATCTCCTCTGGCAGTGAGGGCGTTGTGAAGTTGCGACATCTGAAGACCGTGCAGAGGTTCACTTATGACGTCATAGGTCAGTGACCTGACCTGACCCAAAAATGCGGTTGGTGTCAAAAGATCCGGCTTGGATCAAAGGTCAGGTATGCCAAGTTTCAGCTCTCTATCGCCAGCGTGTTCGGAGCTATCGCGAAAAAAACCCTATGGGGGGGCGGCACCCGCCCCCCCCCCCCCCCCCTCGGCCGGCGAGGGTTAACCCGCGCCCGGCTGGGGGTCCTGGATTTCCACGCCCTGCTGGGGGGGGGGGTGTTTGAACACCCCCCCTTGTAACTCGGCTCCTGGGCCACGTAGCGATACGCGGAAGGCGGGGTTCGAAAGAGCGTCAAAAATAATGACGAAATCACTTCTTTCAATTTTTGGTCAGGTCAAAGGTCAGGTCACCAGAGGTCATTGAAGGCAAAATTTCGCCGATTTCCAGGTCAAATGTCGAAAATTTCCAAGAAGCCAACGCATAACTCGGGAACCAGTAGAGCTACAGCGCCGCGGAAAAGCGCATTCGATAGCCCTATTAACGCCCTTTCTGAGTAATTCTCTCAGATTTGACCTAACGTCAACGGTTTTGCCTGCAGGGGGCAAAAACTGCAAAAATAGCCGATTTTTTCGGAAACAGGTTTTCTGCAATAACTTTTGATCCAAGCCTTGTACGAGCTTACTTTTACCGGCATCGTGTTCCTCTCGTCAAGACGCATCGAATGAACTATAACTTGACCTTGAAAGGTCAACTTGAAAATTTGACCTCAGGTCAAGGTCATGACCTGACCGGTAAGGGTCATGTTGCATATCAGTCGATCCGTATCGTCGAGCTGAACACATCTAAGGCGTTTTCATCGCTCTAGCATGCCTATATCAAAAGTTATTTGCGAAAAACTGTTAGATAACATTCGTGACCTAAGATGACCTCAGGGCATAAACAAGGGTCACGGACACCATTTTCATGTTTTGTGTGTCTAAACCACTTGTAATTCGGTGTTTGGGAGTGTTTATAATGTCTTTCGTCCAAAATAGGCGCATTTCAATTTTCTCCCATTGACTTATAATGGGGAGGTCGCAAAATTGACCTGACCTTAGGTCATCGATATCAAAATTCTGAGATATACATTTTGTACATGCTATTGCTCTTAGCAATCGCTGAAAATTTCAAAGCGATCGGTCACTCGGTGTAGCTATGACAGACATTGAAACTTTTTATGAGGTGAGGTCACTTCAAGTGACCTGGTGACCTGACCTTGAATGACCTTGGTCTGAAATTTTCACAACATGTGTAGAATTGATGTATGATAAGGTGTACCGCCGTTTTTGAGATATTCGCGAAAAACCACAAGGGGGGGTGTTCAAACACCCCCCCCCCCCCCAGCAGGGCGCGGGTTAAATGTTAGCATGTTTTGTTTGTTTTCCTTTGTTTCCGAAAACCGTTTCGTTGCTTTACAATAAATTCAAGTTAGCAGCGAGCGCGTTTTCGAGTAAAACAGGGACCTGCGGCGGAAACAGTGCTGCTGTATATCTGTTAGTGTAATTGATCTTATTTTCAGCCTTACATTGGCAGCCATATTTAAGGATAATTCTCGAACCGAAACCACTTCAAAAAGTCTAGTCTTCCTTGAGTTATTCTAGCCATGTAAAATTTTAACTACTGAGGTGGAAATAAAACATCTACATCTATATATCCTGATATTGTCCGCATCAATTGCTTTTTTTGGCTTAGATGGTGAAACTTATAAACGACTCTTGGGCTATGTAGCTGTGAAACAGCAGGCAGTCAGTTCCGTCACACTTCAATCTGGTAAAAAAATCTCGTATTTTCGTATATGACTTAGGTGTATCAATCGTATCTTTTGTAATTGTATATGACTTAGCATCATATACGAATTAAAAGAAAAATACTCGTTGCATATCTGCAACGCTGCAATATATTCGGTACTTCAACAGAAATTCCTGTGGAATCATCTTAGGGCCACGCCCTACGGGGAACGTCCAGTTAGCCTTTGTGACCAAAAGGGAGCGAAGCGATCACCCAGGCTTTGCGAGAAATATATCAGCGGACATGTGTCGTGCTATGCAGCGTCAGCCGCCAGGCGCGTCGCTCTGTGGCTGTCTGACGAAGGTGGCCACTTTGAGCATTTGCTGTGAGGGACTGTAGACGAGAGGAAGCAGATGAGCCATGAGAGTGATGTCATCATGAATTTCCACGAAATGTTCTCTCGTTTCATTCCCAGTCGCCTGCATGCAATAATATATGTTGTTGCAGAGTTCGGTTCGTTTCGGTTTCGAGCAGTGTTCGCCATGGGCCGGGCCAGCCCAATGGGCCATGGACTGGGCTGGGCTACGGGCTGGGCTGGGCCCTCAAATATGAAGGATCGATGGGCTGTGGATGGGCTGGGCCAGGAACTGTTAAGTGGAGTCAGGGGCTCGCAACTGAGACAAAAACTATAACTACATAGCTTATTACTGTGCAAGACTCAAAAACGAGTCAATAAGCACGCATGCAATGTGCATTGTGCATGCGGCTCGCAAAGTATTGTTTCTTTGCTACCTTTGGGTACCTGTGCGATGTCAATAATCTTTAACCCATTCATTTTTGACGGGCTGGGCCGGGCTGGGCTTTGACGCTTTTACCATGAATGGACTTGGGCTGGGCCGGGCTGTGAACCCATGGGCCTGGGCTGGGCTGGACTAGAATTTTGCGGCCCGTGGCGAACACTGGTTTCGAGCTCGGGTTCGCGTTCGGTAATCGGGTTTCGATGCAGTTGGGGCATTCCACGATAGATCGTACCACTTTTTTTCCAATTTGACACCCTCATCTCTCGGAATTTGACGAGAATTGGTCTCAGGGGTAATCAGGGGCTCTGAATCCACCTGAAACAATTTCAGGCTTATCAGATAAGTATTTTTTGAGTTATGGTGTATAGCATTTTTTGGATCTTGCTTTGCAGCGCTAAGTTTGGCGGTCTGTAACTCTAAGACGGATTATTCAAATGCCAAATGTTAGGTATATAATATTGAACTTGCAATGAAACAGAGATTAATATGTATTTTTGAAATTTCGAAAAATACGCTTTTTTGATATATGACATATCGAGTTTTCTTTCATTTGTATTTTTTGGACTTTGGAACCAAATTTTTTTGAATTTTTATTTCTTTAAAAAAAAATATTTGGCTCATTGTTAAGAAGTATGCAAAAAAAAAATAGGAAGGTGTTCTTTCTATAAATGTATTTATTTTACGTCACGATAACGGTTTCGAATAGTGATTTCGGGAGGGGAGCTTACAAATGGCGTGGTAAAGCTGCCTAGTGACATCACGGGTTACTGAAATTTCAATTCAAGTCTGAGTCATCTGAAAAAAGCGAAAAGAGGGTTCATTCAACCCTCTTTCCTATAAGCGCGAGGGTAAAAAAGGCTGTTTGGTTCTGACATTGTTTTGGACGCCAATGACCATAGCTGTCCGAGATGAAAGTTACAGGACGCATACATGGTGTCCTCCGGAGGTCTCACAACTTGTATATCTGGGAATTTTTCAAGGTTACATGAGGTCAGGTCGGTCACGTGACATCACTGTTATAAATCAATGAGGAAATATAAAAACTGTTGTTTTGGCGCCGAGAATGATCTAAAACAATCCCACGTACATGTTATCGTGATCAGGGGTGTCGTTTTCCGAAAATGATTGG